ATTCGTGTGTGTATAAACAGAACACATACGTGTTTACACACACACAAACACACGTATATATATATATATATATATATAGTAGGGAAGGATAATTGAGATACAAAACTTTGTTCAACATGATTATATGTATACAAGTTTGAACCTTCTTGTCTCTATCTGGCGAGCGTGTGTACATACAATCTTGTTGGCAATTTGCTAAATCATACATTCTACCACAATCGCCACGTCCCTACTTTCGCTACATGGTCATACCTACTGGGTAATCAATAGCTCGATAAGGAATTGCGTTGTACGGTGAGTTTTTGATCTAATCGTTGCTTCAATTATTTGCTACGACTGTTGTTGCGTGTTCCATTGAATTAAGTATTTCACACAGCCAAGACATACTTTGAGAATCGAAAAGCGATATGTGATGCTGCCACCAGTATTTTATACCCGATATAACCAGGAAAATGCTTAGTGTACCTAGGCACACCAACCTTGCGGTATGTTTTAGTGATCGAGTCGTCATCCGTACAACACGAAAGTTTCAGTCAAGTCAGGTAGACGCTAATGCGAATGGCCACACCACACACGAGATATTTATTTATTATTTTGGTGATAATGTATTTTGTTTTTTTGTGTGGTTTGTTACATTAAATTAACTAAATAAAAATACATAGAGTAGGTACAACATAAAGGCATCAAGGCGCGAGTTTAGGTGTTGTTAATTTTACTTTCTCTCTTATTCTAATATTTGAAGTTAACGATGACGACGGCTCCTAGTAGGCGATCATTGGACCAGCGATCCTTTCCCTCTTTAATCCTGGCAAAGCGGGACGGAGCCATATGCAAACATAGGCTCATTGTTGGGAGTACTTTGCTACCGCCGAAACGATGTTTCCAAGTAGATCGACGTCTCGTGGTCTGACTTGCGTATAGTCTGTTGCAGGGGCGTTTTAGTGTTAGCCATGGCCGTCCGAGATCTGGCGAAAGAGGATTCCAGGAAAGCAGACGCCAACATCATTTGAGGCGTAGCCGATTTGAGAACTTTTGACGTGTGCAACAGACGGGTAGAAGCGGAAATGGCCGACATGATTTATAATTCTTCAATAAGAGAGAATGATTTATTGTTACCAAGAAACCTATGCTTTTGTACGGAAAGACTACATCTAAAAATCTGCCAATTTTGTGCACTTTGGATCTAATAGTAGAGGATTCGTGATGCTCATCCCAAGCTTAACTCGACAGGCAATGGTTTTTGAATACTTTACACACGAAGCGTAATTATTCGAATGCGAGCTCAGTGACCGAGCGTGACTTCAGTGACTATTAGACCAAAATCTAGAGCCATGTACACCCCTGATACTGATAGTCTCTGACTGACAGATACAGTGATACGCATTTTTTTTACAGTCTGCTTTTCCCCCCATTTTTATTATTATTACATATTCGTTTATGTACAATGTCAATAAAACTGCATCTGAAAACTGATAGGTCAAATCAAAGAGTTCTTATCGGAAAGATCTCTGTGGAAAGTGGGCGATTTGTTGCTCGACCGGCGGCCCTGCTGGTGACTTTGTTTTTTTTTAAAAGAAAGAAACAAAAAACAAGTGTCGTGTTTTATTTAAAAAAAAAAACTAAAAGATTTTTTTAACACGCCTAAATTACATATTTATTTCAAATAGAGGTTTGAATGCAAGGAATGAAATCTGCACAATCTTATGATTGATACGATAACGTATATGTATACAGATTATTTATGTGTCTCTGTTAATTGTTATGACGAACGAAATAAACCAGTGCTCTAGTCAAGAGCATGTCACCGCACTTTTAGTACAATAATACTATTGAAGTAGATGCGCGATGCCCTCAAGGACATTCATATTGTTCCGCGGAGTGGGATTAGAGGTAGTATAGCTAGTGCATATGATGTCACTGTATATCTAAGAGGTCTCAGTGTCCTACGGACGTTTGTCCGTTCAGCCATATTTTCCTATTTCTAGAGAGTCATGTCTCAGTTGGCATAACTTTTTTCTAGAGGGTGATTATCTGTTTAAATTATACCTTCACACGGAGTTCATTGTGCTTTGAATCCGAGGGTCCGCAATAGAAAGGCGTATGAATGAGAATTTATATCGGCGTTGCTATGTTGATATGACAGAAAGGATGATGACAGGTAGATCGACACCTCATGACCTGACCTAGGCATGTTTTGTTGAATTGGCGTCTTTAAATTGGCGTCTCAGTTTTTGTGACGGCCGCTCGAGAATTAGCAACTAAAGATTCTAGGTAAGCGAACGCCGATAATATTAGAAATTTATCGGCATCGAGAACTTTAGATAAACTCGGAGTGATATTTGCGCTTCTCCTTTGTTAGTGCCGGTTTTATTTCTATAGTAATCATCCAAATCCAACTCAGAATCCTTTGAACGGTACGGAGCGTAGTCTATTGCGAATAGATGAAGCTATATCGGTTGCCCAGCATGCATTCAAACTGTCACCACAAGGGGTAGCTCTTGATCTAGACCCAGATAACAAGCGCTAGCGATGTGTACGGTATACTTCACCTCGTCAATATCCTTCGCGTGCGAATCGGTGCGAGTGCTGAGGATAGATTTTGGGATAGGTGCGGCCACCACTGCCGTTTTCACACTGCAGGACCATAATACAATGATAGAGAAATTCAGTGTGAAAAGCAAAAAACCAGTACATAATAGAGTTGAACAGTCAACTTGAAAGCAGTCTCCTGCCTATCTCTCAGGACTATACACGCTAGCCATGCAATTCTAAAGAAATCAGTGATGTTAATATCACGCTAACAGAAGCGACACGAAACACCACCTGTAACAAACACTACCTATAGTACATGAAATTCTTTTGGACAACCTGTGATGATAAAATTCCCCTGCACGCACGACACCGTACTTCCAGACGCATAAAGTCAGGGATATTGTCTAAAATATCCTAGACAACAATAAAGAAATACATCAAAATATGATTTGCTGTCAGATCACAAAAACATTAAATGGGGAGCAAGTCAGTTCTGAGGGATTTTCTCTCTCGACTAGAATCCATCCTAAAGGCAGAAATCGTTAAGTATAATACAGGGCATTGCTCTGTACGTAGTTACTACATTAAAGTAATCGCATGCCATCATCATCATCACTCAGATCAGGGTCGCCAAGAAAAAATGAATACTGATGGAATACACAGCATGCGACTGTTATGCCAAACAAGTTGCTGATCATAAACACAACCTTCTACATAAAGCGCGTAACTTAAGTGTGAAAACATACCGCGGTGAAACCCTCTTCAGAGCCACCAGCTGCCTGTTGTGCTCAATCAGTATAAACCAGTCTTCAGGCACATCTCTACCCCAGTTTGGCGCGTAGGCTGTCTTATTCCGTCGCTGTCGAAAGTGTGGCACGGTGATCCATAAACAGTGGGATATTACAACATGGTAACAGAATTGAGGACAGGAAATTTATTTTCGTCACGCTAATGTAGTGAAATCAAGCGTTTTAGATTAGTTCCAAAACAAATATTTAGATATGTGCATAATCACTCTTAATCTGGATCATTAACTGCTTGTACATCATAGATTGGCACAATAAAAAACATTTTATTAATGTGTGAATCGTTTACAGTATACATTCAGTATTAAACATGTACTTGTATACACATACAGTTCAGCATAGATCGATCTAATCGTACAGAATAAGGAAAGTATGATTAATAATATATGTGCCCTGCATATATGTGAAGTGGTATACTTCTACATAGAGTGATTACACCACGGGAAATCACATCGGTGCCATTCAAAGAAAGATACCCACCCCCCATATGTCAAATTCATTGAGCGTCTCTGCAGATGTGTCCTAAACCCTAAACCCTAAAGATGTGTCACGACTGCATGGGTAAACGAATAAATACCGAATTGACACTGCATGTTCCCACATCTTTCATCCATCGGCAATACCCAATAACACAATTGAATATCTCCTTGTCGGCATATACAGATGCATTGCATACCTCATTGACCACATTCATGTTGACGCTAATCGGGATGGTCTCCTCCACTCTGTGCCTGCTTGAGCCATCCGTGCCATTGTCTCGCACACACGCAGTCGCTCGTAACAGTGGCAACGACAATACGCCATCTGCCACCTGTGTACACATATCGCAATGCAGAATAATCACATGACTTAATACAGGATTATGAGGACGAAACAGATGAAATGGCAAAACGATTCTCATTTTCGCCCAGCTCGTAAGAACACATACACACGCATCGCCATGAGCCGACTGCAATAGGCACAGAGCAATATACACAACGATATTGTACATACCCGATTGCCTTTGTTGCCTGATCCAATCCCCGCCTTCTTCAGCGCGCCGTAGAAGTCTCTTTTATTTTTATGGGCCATTTCTATTAGGCTGGCAATAGTCTGGTGATAGATGACGGTGGAAAAGTCATAAGAAGTTCTTATTTGCCAAGTTTATATAACACCTCTGTACTCACATTCTCGATTAAAAAAAAAATGAGCATCGACCTTATATAGTTGTATAGAACATGCAGCTCCAAAATCAATCAAGCAAGCACATAATAAATACATGGGCATACAGATTTAGCGGAGGATATACATGCGATATCCTTCTATGTGTTACTGTGTGCTGTAAAAATTTGCTGAGCCATGATTTTTTCGAGGCACATACACGTTCAAGTTGACTACTCGTGTACCTACAATCGACATACCAGTCCCTTTTGCTCCAAACTTGCTGCGGTTTTCTGGTCGATGCCGTCCACCATCGTCAATGGCGAGTCTGAGTACCATCGGCTTTGGATAATCATCTGCATGAGTTTGATGGTGCTCAACGCCGAACTCATATGACCCTGCAGCGCGCTGATATCGATCATCGCCTACAAACAACAGTACACAGCATGAGTGTGAGTCAGTGTTGAATCAGTCTGTACATTAATACAGGTATGCATAGAAAAATACATATGATAAATAACTGCATTGGTTGTTTGGTACTACAATTCACACCTCTGTGAGCTTGTAGTGCTTTGTCTTAAGCCATGCCTACAGATATTAGCAAAACGTGGCGGTCAACAGATTCTGTTGATCAATGGTACATACCAGTGGGCGGAAACGATAAAACTGCTATGCACTCCCTGCGCAGTGCAGTATACAAGTGGACTGATCAAGCACAATGCCAAGTATACTTTCTTCCTACAAGCAAAAAACATACGGCCAGAAGGCGCACGGGTTTAATATCGGTCACATACAACACATTACTTTTTATTACTATTTTGATCGGTCAGATATGCCTTCCGTTTATATACCTGCAAAATACAAACGACTGATCAGGTACATATTTGATAGCGGCTACGTATACTTACGGCGTTCTTCCTAGCAAGGATGAACAAATTAAGACCTTAACTATATAACATAGACCTCGTACCTGCAAGATACGGATAGACTGGTCGAGCACAGTTTTGGTGTCGGTTACGTAGTCGGTGCTGGGCAGTTCTCCGCGGCTGAACCGTGTTTGCAGCAGCAGATTGGCTTTGACGGAGGGCTGATCCAATTGGCTCATATCAACAGGCACCACACACTCCTTGGCCATCTCGCCATTGATAAGATCTTCATTGTGGCGCACAGGAAGCTGTGGAGGTGCATGGCACATTCGTATGAGTGTATGAGCAGCGCACGTGTATGTATCACGGGACATGGGCAACAGTCTTGAATGAAGAGGCAGCATGTAGATAGACACTTGGGTAACAAAGACGTGCAGAAGGCAGCTGTGCGTAGGTGCACAGGAGCGCAAGCATCATTATTTTGACGGCGGAGGCGTCAAAGACACATGGACAGCACATACGAGGTACGACAGCAGCACGTAGGCGCACACGTCGATGGGTGTTAACGCTTAACATAGGGGAGAACCGTGCAAGGAAGCATAAACAACACGAGATAAGGTAGCAGTGTATATGAAGAATACAGAGATGCGGGGGAAGGCAGCTGTGCATAGGTGTATGGATGTCTGGGGCATTGGTTGGATAGACGGCGAACATATATACTAAGTGTCTGGCTACGCGAAAAGGAGAGACGTGAAAAATAAAAAAGGATCACTCGAGACAAATTGGTAACAGTATTTTGTGATTGGATTTAAATAATTGTATGTAAGACATGTGAAATTTGCAATTTGACATTTCGTGACATTTCGTTATGGTGTTTTCGAGAGAGCCGGAAGAATTCGGTGCATATTTCTGTGCGGGGTGCATCACTGTGCAGAATCGCAATATAAAATAAGATACGAATTTACAATTGCACTATCGCACTATCGCACATATTTCAACAGCCTCACATAGACACCAAGATCGTTGTGGTTCTCACAACTTATAACCCCTCAAGTACTTGAAAAACATGCAATACTTCGACTGAAAATACACACAGCAGGCCATGACTCATAGTGCATGTCATAGTAGCCGTCAGAACGCACAGCACACGACACAACATACAACTCACAGTCCACAATTCAACAAACGAAACGTTACACACAATAGACAACCCATTACACACGACACAACCCACAACGCACTTAGAAATATATAGGTAAAGCCCTGACAACGCACATCACACCAGTGCACTACAGAAATGACACAACAGAGAGCACGATATGATGCCAGTTTTAACAACGCCAAACCTGTCTTGCCAGAACAACACACCAGCAACACAAATAACAACAATCGACAGCTCACCTCAGCATATTCTTCGACATTTGTCATGGTGTCAAGAACATCTTCCACAGTGGACGACTCGGTCAATTCATCGGCCATCAGCCCGACACTCTCGTGTGCAATGTAGTAGTACGATGCGATCTGTCCTGCCGGTGTGGACATAATCGTACCTGTGCGGGGGTGCACACTGACACGGTTAGTAGATGCATGTATATACATATACAAACACACACACACACACACACACACACACACACTATATATA